TGACTGAGAAAAGTGATACTTACAGAAGATTGTTTGAAGGTTACACAGTCCATCCACTTCTCTAAGTACTCTAAAGTCTTTTCTTGGATTAAATTGGGCCATGAGAAAGCTATACACTTGAACCATATTAGCTTAGCTCCTTGAAGAATTGCCTTCACTGAGTTGTATGTTAATGTAATGCCTTCAGCTTTTATTGAAGGGGACTACAAGAAACATCAATATGAAATTCATTACTGCGTTTATTGGGAAAATTTTGACATTACTTGCAACAGTATCCAGCTTTCGCTAATATAAAACCCATATGATATTGTTTTAAAGAAGAGAATTCAGTGTAGGAAAACATTTTCTCTGAGGAAATTTATGCTTCTATTTTTTGATTAAAGAAAATAACTCCTCCCCACCCCAAGGTTTATTCTGACAGCCAAGAAGCTCAGAATTTAAAGCTCAACTCCTCTAACTACAGACTACAGTTAATGTTCTGGCCCAAAGGGTGGATATATTTGCAGTCTTTTTTCCTTCTTTCATATTTCCTACTTCTATTTATATTTTATTTTATAATAATTTAAGTACATACATTCTTTTGTTAAACTGCCTGAAATGCTTTTGGAATAAGGCAGGACGTTAAAATAATGCAAATAAATGAATAAAAAACTTGAAATGTGATGTTTTCTATGAATTGCATGGAGTGAATCACAAAACAATGGCACATTTCATATTAGTTTGGATACTATATTGCTATGTTTTAAGTAATTTAAAATCTAGTGTATTTCCAAAGAATACGCTTTTCTTGGCTGGTGCAGCAGCACTGACTCAGATTTAGAAATGGAAACAATCTCAAGAGATCAAAGTTATTTATTTTTTAAATTTACTTCAAAGAAACTATATGCTAAATGCTACATTAGGTAATGGCAGAGAAAATGACAAATAAGACAAAAGTATTACCCCCTTAGATCATGTAACCTACTGTTAGAAACAGATTTATTTACAATAAAAGTATAATTTAATGAGGTTACATAAAAGGAATTTGTGCCAGGTATTGTGGAAACATAATGGGGGATGGCAATTAGATTCATTTGGAAAGTTTCAAGATTAAATAAAATCAGATGGATCTTCAGAAATACGTAGGAATTCATCAATTAGGGAAGGAAGAAAAGGGCATTTTAGCAAGAGGGATCAGCACATCAGCATGTCACAGAGATGTGCAGAGGCATGGATATTTGAGGATGTTTGTAATGGCTACAGGAAGAATATGAGCATGGACTTTAGATCTGGGTTCAATCTTGGATACACCACTTATTAGCTGTGTGATCCTGAGCAAGCAACTTTACTTGATTAATCCTATATTTCCTCATTTCCAACATGGATATATTCCTAGGCACAAAGTAGTAAGTGCACAATAAATAACAAAAAACATTTTCCTTATTAGTCATCATGTAAATAAATATATGAGGAAGCTATATACTTGCACCATACTAGGCGAGCTGCTTGAAGAACTGCCTTCAACAATTCATTTAAGAGCTGAAAAATTAAATGATCAGATTTCTGTTTTAGAAAGATAACTCTGGCACTAATGTAGAGGATGGATTAGAGGGAGGCATGATCAGAGATAGTGAGGAATAAAGAGACTAAAAATAATGAGAAATGGTGAGGGCATAGTCTAAGACATATATAGATGGGAGAATGGACACCATTTGGTGATTGGTTAGATGTTAAAGGATACTTCCATGCTGTTGATATGTGAGGTTAGGGTTTGCCACGAACTGAGGTATAGATTAAAAAATAGGCATGGGCAGGGGAAAGATATACAGTCAATTTAGAAGGTTTTATTTTTGTTTGTTATTTCTGTCATCTTTTTTCAAAGATATGTAAAGACTGAGATGTTATATTCATGTAGAAATGTCTAGAGAACAGGTTGGATATATGATCTTGGAAGTTAAAAGAAAGATATGGAGATGCATCTGTAGATAATAGCTGTGGAAGGTAAGATAGAGGCGTGGGTTGTAGATGTGCTTTGGTTCTATTTCATTAATTCACACCATATTTATTGAACAATTATATACAAGGCCCTGTGCAAAGGGCCGGGGATAAATGATTTATTAAAATAAACATAGGCAGTGTTATCATGATCAGTGAAGGAGCTGAGACATGAACATGCAATTACAAACTGTGATAAAGGATCTAATGCAAAATATCAGGGTACCATACACACTTACCACGGGATCTAATCACTGAAGGGGGAACAAGAAATTTCCTGAGGACTGACATTTGTGCTGAGGATAAGTAGGGATTATCTGTTTGGGGAGAGTTAAAAACATACTTCTTTTTTTCAAACATATAATATTGATATGTATCTCTGAGTGATTATTCTTATGAGGCAAATTAATAATGGCCAGTTTACAAGTTTATAAGAAGTTTTCATATGTTCTTTAGATTGACAGATAATTTAACTGCATTTATTCCTGTTTACTAACTTCAAAAGCAGAAGACTTCCGACTGTCTGTTTAAACTGAAAGGACGCCAATATGGCCTGTGGATAAAAACTCTGTATTTCAAGAAAATTATGTTTTCCACTTAAAAACTGAATCTAAGGAAAACTAAAGTAGAAGTAGACAGCACTGAAATATTTTTTAGGCAAGATGCACTAGTTTTGGGCACTCTACTTGATTTCCTTTCAGTTCTAAGGAGCTGGTTATTTCCAAGGTAGGTTTAGAAAATACCTCCTAAAATTCATTTGGATCATGAAATTGGGTTATCATTGATAAACAGCACTGTAAAGTTTTAAAAGCCTTTTCACAATGGTAAAGAAATCTTATCATTGGTATTATATTGCCAGATTTAATATCAGAAACTCATTTAGTCTTTTAATCAATAGAAATTTCTGAAGTGCCTACTAAGTCCCTGGCACTGTGCTTGGCTCTGTAGCTCTGGAAAACTGAATAAGAACAAGCAATGTGCCTGATGCAATGTGCCCTTTAACTTAACCACTGAACTTGAACCACTTAGAACTGAAATAATAGAAACTTTGTTAGCTGTTTTGCTGCAAATTAGGTTGGAACATCAATGATTTCAACCTAGATTTATCTTCACTACGTGTGATTTGAAATGTAGGTAGACTTAAATCCAGTATTCATCAACAGTAGGTTATTGCTTTTAGAATGCATTATTAAGAATATGGTTTTTGCATGTATAGGTACTTCCATTTTCCAAGTTCAGGGCTTGAGAAGGCTTAGTATTTGACATGCCATATCACAACATCAATTTGATTGGCACCATCATAGCATTAAAAAATAATATATCAATAAATTTCTATATGGGGCATTTATACCACAAACTGCTATTTACCTTTTGTGACATATATACAAAACACTAACTAGCATTTTATCTTCAAAAAAATGTTAGTATGAAAGTGCATGTGTCACTAATATAACTAAAAAGAAGGAATTGCATAGAGAGTAATGAAAAAGCAGTATACTACATGGGGAATGAAAACATAAATCAACAATAAAATGTAATGGAAATGCTGAAATAACCTAGAAGTTAAGTATAGAAAATTAATTAGATTCCTTTTAATATTTACTCATAGGCTGTTTGCATGCAAAACATAGCTTATAAAATGAAATAAACCAGCACTCTTATTAAAACTTCTATAGTTTATAAAATTAAAGAAAAAGAGCAAAACTTTTAAACTATAACATCAACTGTTTGTATGATTAAACTGTAAAGTGGTCATAGAAAAGAGAAAAAATATTTGTATCCAAATAACTTAAAAAGAAATAAAATCAGCAAGTATGTTATTCCAAATTTAATGGAAGAAGTATTTAGGTAGATATATTGTTAAAAAACAAGACTTCCAAGTAGAATTTTTTCCTATCATTAAGAACAATTTATATCTTATTGTGATATACAGTATTCAAAGCCTCCTCATAAGGCAGATGAATAATAATCTAAAGAATAAGACAGGAAACAGCTGTTACGTCAATGCACAGAACTCCCACTAGCTTCAGTACTTGAATCCAAAAATAGACACCCATAATTCCCAAAGAAGTTAATCTTAAAAACAAATAACTTTTCTCTTATGGACTACAGGAGCAACTTAAACTTTCTAGGCATTTCAACACCTATCTACTTATTCTATACAACATGGGAGAGAGAACAATGATGCCTGGGCTTTTACATCCAAGCAACAGAGATGGGCGTTGGTGAGGAGTAACTCAACCCATTGATAGGGCCTGAAAGTCTACAACAGGTAAAGTTAATGCCCACTTTTTGATTTCCCAAATCTCTTTATTATATAGCAGTGTGGTGTTTAAGAGCATGAACTTAACGGTGAGACAGATCTGGATTCAAGTATACTTATTAACTAATTGTGTGAGGTTGGGCAAGTAAATAACTTCACTAAGCCTCAGCTTCTTCATCAGAAAAAAAGACAAGAATTAAAAAGAGACCCTAGTAGGGCCGGCCCTGTGGCTTGGTGGTTAAGTGCGCGCGCTGCGATGCTGGCGGCCCGGGTTCGGATCCCGGGTGCGCATCGAAGCACCACTTCTCTGTCCAGCCTGAGGCCGAGTCCCACATACAGCAACTGGAAGGATGTGCAGCTGTGACATACAACTATCTACTGGGGCTTTGGGGGCAAAAAAATAAATAAAAACCTTTAAAAAAAAAAAAAAAAAAAAGAGACCCTAGTTAAAAAGTCGTCAAGATTACATGAGAGAGCATACGTAAAAGACTTAGCACGGTGCCTGACACCCAGTCAGAGCTCAATGATACTAGGGAGTGGTTTTAACAGAAGTGATACTACTAGAAGCACTCCTAAAGGATTTCAGGCAAGAGCAGGCAAGAGCATACTTTAAAAGAAAATTCTATGATCCACACATATATGTGAATATATATATAATTTATGTTTGAATGTTCTTAATGTCAATTTTTAGGAACTTATCTGTTACAAGCTAAGTCTGTTAGGAGATTCTCTTAATCATGGTGAGAAGGAAGTTCTCACTTACCTTGTCATTTACTACACTCTTCCCATCCCAAGCCCATCCTCTCTTGGTGAAGTAATTAACAGTGGCAAATTCAATTAGGGCAGAGAACACAAATGCATAACACACAGCAATAAACCAGTCCATGGCAGTCGCGTAAGCCACTTTGGGGAGAGAATTCCGAGCACTGATGCTTAGAGTTGTCATTGTTAGAACAGTTGTGACTCCTGCAGAAGAAAAGACAGGGACCAAAACCATCAACAGGTACTAGAAGGACAGCACTGGAAATATTATTTTTTAAGGTTACTTTCAGTGCCACTTCTATCCACTAAAAAACAATACTGGAAGAACAGTGCAAAGTTAATTGTTATAAATGGTGACTATAATTCTTGAAGTAATGACTCAAATGCCTTCAGTTTTCAGTTTGTATGAATCCTTTTTTTCTATTCTTAAGTACTGCTGATGTTAAAAAGACTGGCGGAGACTGAAGTAGAATTTCCTATGAGGAAAGCAAGTATTTTAAATTGACCCATTGCCCATTAATATTAATTTTTTTAAAATTCCACACAAAGCCTCACATTAATTTGTTCATCATTTATCTGAATCATGCTAAGCAATGGACCAGTCATCCACACCACTGATCACAATGAAACTACAATTAAGACATTCTTCATTCTAAGTAGGGCTACCTAAGTATGGAATTAATTCTGGATTGTCTAGCATTGTCAGGACATAATTTTTTTCTTAATGAGGCTTAGAATCTATAGAAAATAAAACAAGCAACTAAAACCAAAACTTTGTAAAATGTAAATCACTACTTATAAGGAATATTTTATACCTTTGTTGGTTTAAAAAATAATCTAGTTCCTTTCATTGTAAAGCTTTTCTGCCAGTAGTCAGGGAAGTCACAATGGTTAAATGAAGGGAAAGCAACAATTCAGGAGGTAAGTTGTAATATCAGCAGTCAAAATGTCTACACTTACCTGTTTTATCAGAGATCCAATAGAAGTTTAATTATGTACACAGGGGATACATTAAGTTAAAAGAGATTTAAAATGTTAAAGAAATGTTCATTCATATTTTGAAGTTTTTTCCATTTTATTTTTTTCTTTCCCTTAGGATAAAGCAGCTGTTTTTCTCATCTACAATAGTTAGTAATGCAAAATAGCAATAATTCTATTTAATCATGAGTGAATGCATCTAGGAATATGATGGTGGCAGTAGGAATAAAAGGTAGAAAAATAAATTTAGTTCATCTGCTGCTGAGTCAATATTAAAAAACATGTTTACAGAAACATTGTGCTTGCATGCATCAAACTGCAAAAGGTTTTAGATTGTAAAGATGTTTCCTTTTGAGAATTTGGTACAGGAGAATAATTAAATAGAATACAAGACAAATACACCCACACATACCTATAAACTACAACCATATCCTCATATATATACATATACACAAAATATGTCCACACACATATATATATACACAACATAGCAATGCAAATGACAAATCAATATACGAAAATATATTTAACTTCATCAGCAGTCAAGGAAATACAAAGTGATAATGAGATGCCTTTTTAAAACAATACTACCTGCAAAATTTTAACAAAACTGTCAAAGATTGATACTATCTTGGTGTTGAGGTGGATGTGGGGCAATGGACATCCTCTTTAATAGAGATTACAAATTGATGTCATATCTAAGAAACTGTTGCATAATCCAAGGTCATAAATATTTAGACTTATGTTTTCTTCTAAGAATTTTGTAGTTTTAGTTCTTACATTTAGGTCTTTTGTCCATTTTGAGATAATTTTTGTGTATGGTGTGAGGTAGATGTCATAATTCATTCTCTTCCATGTGGATAGCCAGTATTATTTGCTGAAAAGACTTTTCTTTCCCCATTAAATGATCTTAGCACTGTTGCTGAAATCAATTGATCATAGATAGAGGGGTTTATTTCTGGACTCTCAATTCTACTGCATTGACCTACATGTCTGTCCTTATGCAAGTTTCACATTGTTTTGATGACTGTAGCTTTAGAGTAAGAGTTGAAATCCAGAAGCTGGAGTCCTCCAACTTTCTTATTCTTTTTCAAAGATTGTTTTGACTATTCAGGGTCCTTTACATTTCCATATGACTTTATGATCAGTTTGCTCATTTCTGCGAAAAAAGTTCATTGGAATTTTGATAGGTATTGCATTGAATCTATTGTTTTGGGCAATATTGCCATTATAACTATATTGAGTCTTCCAATCCCTGAACATGGGATATCTATCCATTATAATTATTTTTATATAATTACATAAATATCATCTCCATTTATTTAGAGCTTCCTTAATTTCTTTCAGCAACGTTTAATAGTTTTCTGTATACAAGTCTTTCACTTCCTTCATTAAGTTTATTTATAGGTATTTTATTCATTTGGATACTAACATAAATAGAATTGTTTTCTTAATTTCCTTTTCAGATTGTTCATTGCTAGTGTACAGAAGCACAACTGATTTTTTTTTGTGTTGACTCTGTACCTTACAACTTTGCTAAATGTATTAGCTCAAATAGTTTTTATGTGGTTTACTAACGTTTTCTATCATAATATCATGTCATCCGAAAATGAGTTTTACTTCTTCCTTTACACATTGGATACCTTTTATTTGTTTTTCTTGCCTAAGTGCCCTGGCTAAAACCTGCAATATAATGTTGAATAGAATTGGCAAAAGCAGATGCCCTTGTCTTGTTCCTGACGCTGGGATGAAATCTTTTAATCTTTAACCTCTAAGCATGATGTTAGCTGTGAACATTTCTTAGATCCATTTTATCAGGTTGAAGATGTTCTTTTCTATTGCTAGTTTAAGATTTTTTATCATGAAAGAGAATTAGATTTTGTTTTTCAGTGTCTATCAAGATGATTGTGTGTTTCTTCCATATTCCATAAATAAGTTATATTACATTGATTGGTTTTTGTATGTTGAACCAACGTTGCATTCCTGAGATAAATCCCACATGGTCACCGTATGTAATTCTTCCTTGATTTTTTTTTTTGTGAAGAAGATCAGCCCTGAGCTAACACCTATTGCCAACACTCCTCTTTTTTGCTGAGGAAGATTGGCCCTAGGCTAACATCTGTGTCCATCTTCCTCTACTTTATGTGGGATGCCTGCCACAGCACAGCTTGAAGAGTGGCATGTAGGTCCATGCCCAGGATCGGAACCTATGAACCCTGGGCTGCCAGAAGTGGAGCACATGAGCTTAACCACTACACCACTGGGCTGGCCCTGTAATTCTTTTTATATGTGGCTAGTTTCATTTTGCTAGCATTTTGTTGAGAGCATATGCATCTATATTCATAAGGGATATTGGTCTGTAGTGTTTTTTTTTTTTTATTTGTGATTTCTTTGTCTGGTTTTGATACTTTGGTAAAATGGCCCCATAGAATAAGTCAAGAAGTTCTCTCATCCATTTTTTCAGAGTGTAAGAAAACATTATGTTAATTCTTCTTCAAATGTTTAGTAGATTCACCGGCAAAGCCATCTGGCCTTGAGATTTTCTTGATTTTTTTGATTACTCATTTCATAGCTTCAGTTGTTATAGATTTATTCAGACTCTTGAGTCAGTTTTGGTAATTTGATGTTTCCAGGAATTGGTCCATTTATTCTAGGTTATCTCATTATTTTGCATATAATTGTTCACAGAATTTCCTTATAATCTTTTTTTTATTTCTGTAAGGTCAATAGTAATATCTCCTCTTTTTTTGTGATTTTAAAATTTTGAGTCTTCTCCTTTTTTTCCTTGGTCAGCCCACCTAAAGGATCATCAATTTTATTGATTATTTTTGTGTGTGTGAGGAAGACTAGCCCTGAGCTAACATCCACTGCGAATCCTCCTCTTTTTGCTGAGGAAGATTGGCCATGGGCTAACATCTGTGCCCATCTTCCTCTACTTTATATGAGACGCCACCTCAGCATGGCTTGACAAGTAGTGTGTTGATGCGAGCCCAGGATCTGAACCCGTGAACCCCGGGCCACTGAACTGGAGTGCATGAACTTAACTGCTGCACCTCCAGCTGGCCCCCCAATCCTGAATTTTAATTAGGGAGTTTAATCCATTCACATATAACATAATCACTGATAGGGGAGAAGTTACTTCTGCCATTTTCCTATTTATTTTCTATATATATTATATCTTTTTGATCCTCAATTCCTCCATTACTTCCCTCTTTTGTGTTAAGTAAATATTTCATGATGTACCATTTTAATCTCTTGCTGTTTCTTTTACTATATGTGTTTGATTTATTTTCTTAGTGTTTGCCCTGGGGATTAAAACATTTAACAATCTAGTTTGAATTAATACTAATGAAACATAAATAGTATACAAAAACTTTGCTCCTCTACAGCTCCATCCCCCACTTTATGCTGTTATTATCACAAATTATATCTTTATAAATTGTGTCCATCAATATAGATGTACAATTATTGCTTTGTGCAGTTGTCTTTCAAATAAGATAGGAAAAAAGGACTTATGAACAAAAAAGACATTTATAGTGTCTTTTATATTCATCTGTGTTGTAATCTTTACTGTTGTTCTTTATTTCTTTCTGTGGATTTGAGTTATTGTCTAGTGTCCTTTCATTTCAGCCTAAAGGGGTCTTTTTAGCATTTCTTATATGGCAGTTCTGCCAATGACAAAAGTCATTCAGTTTTTGTTTATCTGGGAATATCTTAATTTTTGAAGGATAGTTTTTATGGATATAGAATTCTTGGTTGACAATCTTTTTCTTTTGACACTTTGAATAAGACATCTCACTGCCTTCTGGCTTCCGTGGTTTCTGATGATTTGTTAGCTGTTAATCATACTGAAGGTGTTTTTTACTTGAGGTATCACTTTTATCTTGCTGGTTTCTAGATCCTGTCTTTGTCTTTGTTTTTGTCTTTGTAATTTGATTCCAATGTGTCTAGTTGTGGATCTCTTGGATTTATTCTATTTCTACTTTATTGACCTTCTTGAATGTGTTGATTAGTTTTTTTCATTAAATTTGACAGTTTGGGGCCATTATTTCTTTAAATTTTTTTTTTTACCTTTCTCTCTCTCCTCTCCTTCTGTGACTACCATTATACATTTATTGACAAGCTTGATAATGTACCACAGGTCTTTTAGGCTCTGATTTTTTTTCCTCATTTTTTTTTCTGTTCTTCATACTCAATAATCTTAACTGACCTATCTCTGAGTTCAC